AACACTTTGTAACTTAAAAAAAAAATCTTCAATTTGAAATAGTTTTTTGGCATAATTTTTTTTTCAGATTTATAGCTCAAAAAAACTCAACCAGCATGCAGATAATATATATCTCATTATATGTATCATTGCCCGACACAAACCATTGCATTGCCCAATACAAATTATTACATAATCATCTCAGAATAAATTAGTCAAGCTAACTCCAAGACATTATCATATTGTACTCACTAAAAAAACCTTACCAATTAATTCATACATTCATACGGAAAAAATAAAATAAAGAAACAAATCTAAACTAATTTATAACCTCTTCAATAAAATATAACATTGTCTAGAAATCAAATCAAACCAAACCACCCAAGAAGATTACAAACTTGCACCAACCAATCCGTAACAAATGGTCCACCAAACCCAATATTCCATATAAAATAGAATTTAAAAAAGTCGAAGAACAACAACATATTTTACAATCATCAAGAGAAAAATAATCAAGTGCAAATTTGGTGTGCATGGAAATATACATTCTCAATAAAAATTAAAAGGAGGAAAAATGGATGATTCATTATCACCAGATGCATCATCGGAGCAAAATAGGCAAAGCTTCACACTGCAAAATAGGCATGATCTATTGACCCATTTACACCTAAAAATGGGAGAAAAATCAAAAATTTCTTCTTTCAAGTTTCAACTCCTAATTAGTCAAAAGCTTCCAAGTGCGATACAAAAGATCAATGCAAGATCAAGAAAGACCATTTTCTTTATTTTATATCAAGTCTAAACCATTCTATTAATTTGCTTCTAAAATGCTCTCCCATCTGTTGAATACACTAATGCTGCATTTGGTTGCATAGTGTTGGGTTCGTTAAATTGGAATTGCAGCAAAGTTGGTATAGAGTTAAAATTATTTATTTTCCTATTTCAACTCCAATGCCCAATTCAAGTTGCCAAACGCACCATTATTGTCCTAAAGTGAATCATAAATCAACTCATTGTCTCCAAGAAATCAATAAGCAATGGTACTGTTCATTTGTCACCATATGAAGCTTTAAATAATATTTAATGCACTTGATCAGCATCAAGGTAGTAGTAGCATATTAGCAAGCTACATCAACTTACAGTTCGACTTGAGCAAAGGATTGAAACTGGTTGTCCGATGAATTTATGAAAGCTTCCTACATGAAAACAAAAAACAAAAAAAAATGATTCAAGAAAAAGTGTTTTACAGAAACTTCAACACTTTAACAGTTCCTTCATTTTCTCATCAACGAAATATAGAGAGAGAAACCATAAAATTACCTCGAGAACACCGACAACAGTTCCGTCATTGAGTTGTTCTGTGCCCCACTGAATCGAGTCCCAATATACTCGATCGTGACTAAGTACCTTTGAATTCTAGGGTTTTGAATCATGGCTCGGTCACCAATAGTGGGCTCTCTTTGCTCTTCCCCGTGTTCGTCTTCGTTGTCGTCGTTGTTGGTGAGGTCTTGCTCTTTGACTCTGGCGATCTTCGAAGGACGTTCGGGAGAATAAGACCCTTTATCAAGTGAGCGTTGATTGTAAATCGACAACTACGATTGAAGATTTGAGATTAGGAGAGAGAGGGAGATGTTGGTTAAAGAATTGAGATTAGGAGAGAGAGGCACAATTGAGATTGAGATGGATTCCTTGGAAGAGATTTTAGGAATGAGTTTAGAAGCAGGGACAGAGGCGTGAGAGATTGGGAGAGGGAGGGAGAGGCGTGAGTCAGAAAATGTGGTTGAATGGAAAAATAAAATTCAGTATTCACTCTTATCCGTTATAACAAATTTTTTTAGATGATTTGAATCGTCTTTTATGTTGAGATTACGTTGTCCGTTTAATGTGTTTATATTTTGTCTCAAAACGATCTAAACCTCTCTTTGCCTGTGGATTCAAACTTAATTCTACTTTATTACATAAATATATTAGAGAGGATATGACAACAGTAAATACGATATAGTATCGATATAAAACTAATAAATTTATGATTAACCATTCAAATGAGAAATACGTAGATTAATTAGGTTGTTTTCAATAAATAGACTAATATTAATTTACTTAAATACGATATAAACATAACACGAACTAAAATATATACAACGTTAAAGAAATTAGATAAAAATTGAATAGATTTTTGTATGATCGAAGTTGGGTATGACACAAATTTAACGCAATACAACACTTTTTACTACAAACCGCAAAACAATTCTTTAGTTTAGGAGTCAATATATAGAGAAAAATATATATATATACAACACTTTTTACTACAAACCGCAAAACAATTCTTTAGTTTAGGAGTCAATATATAGAGAAAAAAATATATATATATATATATATATATATATATATATATATATATATATATATATATTTCCATAAAAAAAAAGGATGAAAATATAATGACCAGTTGAAATATTTTTCTACAACTTTTCCTAATTGTGGGGAGAAAATACTAGGTTGAAAGGATCATCAAATCATTAGTTTCTTTCATCTTTTCTCCAACTAAGAGCAACTCCGGGGACATAAGTAGTCAGGCAAAATATATTTTTTTATTACACTATCTATTTTAAAGAACAACTCCTATTAATTCACTCAAACAACATTCTCTATTTTAGTTAATTATTTCAATTAACTTTAACTAACTATTAATTATTAAAATTTAAAACATTGACTAAAAAATTGACTTAATCACCAATGTTCTAGCAAAACTAAAATCTGGTTTGGTTTCCCAACCCTCCTTGATGTCCTATGGGTGTGATAGATTATAGGATAAATTGTAAATTACACCCTAAAAAATTATTCGAATTTTATTTTGTATCCCTAAAGATAAAAATTTTTAATTTGTACCATCAAAGATAAAAATTTGTATCAATGTGCACCTAAAATTAAATTGATAAATTATACCTAGATCACCTTATGCTTGTCACTTAATTATTTGGACCCCTTCACATTTAGAATATTACTCCTACATCTCATGAAGTTTGTGTAAGTGTAACACGTAACCCATTTTCGTTGATATCTGTTAATATAATCGTTAAAAAATATGATTTTATTATAATAAAAAATTATAATTTCATATTACCATTTATTTTATGGGTCCAATATACTTTAAATTCCCAAATCAAGCTTACCATTTGAGTGTCTAATAGAATAAAGAGTTGCACATTGAGTGATATATTGCATTTGATATAAAAATATTATATAAATATATGCATTTTATTAGACATTCAAATGATAAGCTTGATTTTGAACTTTAGAATATATCAGACCCACAAAATAAAAGGTAATATGAAATTATAAAATTTTTTTAGGATAAAATCATATTTTTTAACAGTTATATTAACAGATATCAACGAAAAAGGGTTACGTGTTACATGTGCACAAACGTCATGAGATGTAGGAGTAATATTCTAAATGCAAAAAAGTTCAAATGATTAAGTGACAAGTATGAGGAGATCTAAGTATAATTTATCAATTTAATTTTAGGTGCACGTTGATACAAATTTCTATCTTTGAAAGTACAAATTGAGATTTTTTATCTTTGGGAGTGCACATTCGTACAAATTTCTATTTTTGAGGGTATAAATTGAGATTTTTTATTTTTGGAGTACATAATAATACAAATTTCTATTTTTAAAGATATAAATTAAAATTTTTGAAAATTAAGATTCAAACGGGATATTTGCAATTAACCTAAATTATATTAGCCATGATCACCCCCGAAGAGGAAGAAAAATCGTCGAAGGCTCGATGGTGCTTGGGGCAGACTAGATCGATTCGAACACCATGGAAGGAAGAATTGAAGGTTGATGGGAGGGTAAATTTTGGAGAGAGGGTAACAGTCGAATGTGGGATTGAGATGGGTGGGGTTGCATCTACTTCTAATTTCACAAATTCAATCGGTGGGGGTTTTTTGGTGGGGTTTCAGTGGAATTATTGGTGGGTGAGACGGAGGGATTTTTAGGGTTTTTTGTGGGTTTTATGGTGGGTTTTTTAGCAGGAGCACAGAGAGAGATGGGTTTTAGTAGGATTTTTGTGGCCTCATATTTACACCCACACACATAGATAGAAACAGAGAGAGAACTCCATACCTGGACTGGTCGAAGAACCTTTGTTTGGTTGAAGAAGACGACGATCGAGGAAGACAACGACGAAGGAGACTGAAATTGGGAGTGCTGTGGAGTGAAGACTGAAGGTTATGGGAGCTTTTGTGGAGTGAATACAGAGCGAAGAAATTGACGCAAAAACCACAATAGCGAGTTTCTGCGCCTCGCCAGGAATAGCTAATGAAATGAAGGATATGGGAAATGGTTATTGAGGCCTTGGAGTTGCTCTAAGTACTCCCAAATGAGTGATTTATATCCCATTTCTAGCAATTTATGATTCGTTTAAATAAAATTACCCATAAAAGAGCAACAAAGTAACTAACCCTTTTCAAGCAACACTGATTTAACACTCAAAAGATACTCCGCAAGAGTTAGTTATTTGATTGATTGTATAATCATATGATCAAATCAATTATGGTGCCTTCGTGAATGCAGATAAAAGCAGTGCATAACTATCGTCAGTTAATGTTATAAGGTGTTGGGTTTAGCCTCATGACGAACACGACCCTCTTAAAACCTGTTTCCCCATCACATATGATTCTCTGTTCTACCGTCATTTTTACCTTCTTTCTTGTCATTCCACAGCAATTCAGCCTGCCATTGACAAATAAACCTTTGATAAAATCACCTGGCAATCACGGTAAGAGTTTGCCTCCTCCTAATATATAGTATGAGTTCTGTCAAATTTTTAATCACCAAGTTCTCTCTCTCTCTCTCTCCCCCCCCCCCCCCCCCCCTTTTTCCTTTTTCTCCTCTTAGTTTTAAGGTTAGGTAAACTACTTGTTAGTTTATTGTTGTTCTTGAATCAGCAACACAGAAATTTTCTTGATAGAATAAGGAAGAGTACATGGAGGCAAAAAGTCCACCAATAAGGAAGGAAAATAACAAATAAAATCAGAATACAAATCACATATAGCTTTCCAATTTGCACTTAAAAAATTACTTGCCTTGTGCAACAGTTGGCCACTAATAGGCTAACCCGAAAACATTAGCTTCCACCAGATATTAACTTGAAAGGAAACAAAGCCTGTCCCAGGTACATCCAATATTTGCTTAAAGAATATAGATAAAGAGTTAGTTACATCGACAATTTCTAGCGTATACATTCTGCATCAGAAATATAGACTGCGTTAGACTTGGGAACCACATAAAATCTAATTCAATACTTCAAGTACCAAATTGAAGCAATTATAACATTGAGAACTAAAATGACACATAAAGCACACATTGAGGGGGTTAATTCACCCCCACATAAGCAGTCAAAAAATAGTAGAGTACTCAAAAGACTGGTTCAACAAATTGCAAGTCAACTTTAACAGTTGCTAGTTAAGAAGTTATCTATACAACAATCTGATTTTTCCTTGCTCAAACTTGCTTAGCAGCCATGGTTGTGAGCAACTCGTTGAATATATCCTTTTTCTTCCTTCTCCTCATCCATTCTACATCCCCACTGTATTTTAACCTATCCAGTATCCGACCTGGTGATACAAATCACTCCATAAATGTCACTGGAGCTGCATATATCACTGAAGAAGGTATCCAAGTCACCCCAACTAACGTCACGTTAGGTGGAACCATAGGTCGAGCCACATACATCCAACAGCTGCACTTATGGGACAAGGCTTCAGGAGCACTGACAGACTTCACAACCCATTTCTCTTTCGTAATTGATTCAAGTGGTAATCCCAACTATGCCGATGGTCTAGCTTTCTTCCTGGCTCCTGTTGGTTCAAGTATTCCTGCAAACGCGGCAGGAAGTGGTCTTGGTCTTGTTGGCGGGAACACAATATCAAACTTTCCTGAGAATCAATTTTTTGCGGTGGAGTTTGACACTTATTCGAATGGTTGGGATCCCAATTTCACACATGTAGGTATCAATATCAACTCCATGAAATCTGTTTCCACTGCGATATGGTTGAATAATATCACACAAGGGCAAGAAAATGATGCTTGGATTAGCTATAATTCTAGTTCCAAAACTCTGGAAATTTTTTTCACTGGTTTTTCAATTATTGGATCCCAAAAAGATAGACTTTACTATGTTTTGAACCTGATGGATTACTTACCAGAATGGGTTACTTTTGGGTTCTCTGCAGCAACAGGAGATTATTTTGAGATAAATAATGTTAAAAAATGGGAGTTCAATTCGAGTTTACAATTTGATGCTTATGAAAGCAACCCAAGTCTAAGCCCAAATCTTGACTCCAGTGTAGCGGCCACTAGAGTAAAGAAACACAAGATAGGACTAGTGTTGGTGTTGGGTGTGAGCCTGAGTGTTTTGATTGGTGGGCTGGGTTTGGTTGGCTATTGCTTGTTGAAGAAGAGAAAAACTGAAGAAGAAGAGGAGCATGTCTTTGAGTCATCCATGGAAGACCGATTTGAAAAAGGTAGTGGACCAAAGAAGTTCTCATATGGTGCATTGGTTTGTGCAACAAAAAACTTCG